AGAATATAAAGCCAAATATACAACAAAATGTGCAAAGATCTGGAATCAGAAAACCAAAAAGGAAGAACACGTTCAGCATTTCTCAAGCTGGGGGAACTGAAGAAAAAATTCAAGCCTTGACTTTCGTTATTGAAGGATTCTCTGGGGAAATTATTGAATGATGCAGAAAGCATCAAAAGAAGATGGAAGAAACACACAGAGGAAATACCAAAAGGCAATGGTTGATATTCAACTGTTGCAAGAGATAGCATATGATTAGGAGTCAGTGATACTGAAGGAGAAAGTCCAAAGTGCATTGAAGAAATTGGCAAAGAACAAGGCACTAGGAATTGATGGAATAAAAACTGAAATCTTTCAAGAAAGGAGGCACTCACTCATCTCTGCCAAGAAATTTGGAAGACAATCTGGCCTATTGATTGGAAGAGATCCATATTCATGCCCATTCTAAAGAGAGGTGACCCAACGGAATGTGGAAATCATTGGGCAGTCTCTTTGATATCCCATGCAACTACAGTTTTATTACAAGTAATACAGAAATGGCTACAAGCATACATTGACAGAGAACTTCCAAAGGTTCAAGCCAGATTCAGAAGAGGCCATGGGATGAGGGATATCATTGCTGATGTCTGATGAATCTTGGCTGAAAGCAGAGAATATCAGAAAGATGTTTACCTGTGCTTTACTGACTATGCAAAGGCTTTTGATTGTGTGGATCATGACCAGCTATGGACAATATTGTTAAGTATGAGTATTCCAGAACACTTAATTCTGCTCATGAGGAATCTGTACATGGACCAGGAGGCAGTTGTTCTAACAGAACATGGGAACATTGAATGGTTTAAAATTAAGAAAGGTGTGCGACAGTATTTTATTCTTTCACATACTTATTCACCCTGTATGCTGAGCAAATAATCTGAGAAACTGGGTTCTATGAAGAAAAACATGGCATTAAGATTGGAGGAAGACTCAGTAACAACCTGTGATATGCAGATGATACAACCTTGCTTGCAGAAAGTGAAAAAGACTTAAAATATTTACTGATAAAGATCAAAGAGCACAGCCTTCAGTATGGATTACATCTCAATGTAAAGAAAACAAAAATCCTTACTGCTGGACCAATAAACAACATTTTTATCAATGGAGAAAAGATTCAAGTTCAGGGATTTCATTCTTCTTGGATCAACTATCAACACTCATGGAAGCAGCAGTCAAGAGCTCAAACAACATACTGCTTATAGACAAATCTGCTGCACAAGACCTTTTTAAAGTGAAGAGCAAAGATAGCAGCTTGAGGACTAAGATGCGCCTGACCCAAGCCATGGTATTTTCAATAACCTCACATACATGCTAAAGCTGGACAGTGAATAAGGAAGACCATAGAAGAATTGATGATTTTGAGTTATGGTGTTGAAGGAGAATATTGAAAGTGCAATGGGATGCCAAAATAACCAACAGATCTGTGTTGGAAGAAGTACAGTCAGAATGCTCCTTGGAGGTCAGGATGGCCAAATTTTGTCTTTCATACTTAGGACATATTGTCAGGAGGGACTAGTCACTGGGGAAAGATATCATATTTGGTAGGGTGGACGGTCAGAGAAAAAGAGGAAGACCCCCAGCAAGATGGATTGATAAAGTGGCAGCATCAATGGGCTCAAGCATGGCAATAATAATGAGGTTGGCTCAGGATCAGACAGTGCTTCGTTGTACTGTGCATAAGATTGCTATGAGTTGGTTCTGACTAGATGGCACCTAACAACATGTGGTTAAAAAACTAGAGATTGTGCCATTCTTATCGTTAGTTGCAGATCAAACCATTGTGATGCACAGGATCCTTATTGGCTAATTTTAAGAAGTAATTTAAATTTTAGTCTGGAAGCTCTATTGATGCCTGCACATGAGCTACCACAGCTAGCGCTCTCCTATATGAAAGATGAGAATTCTAACACTAAGCTATCATTGCTCTTGTCTACTAAAGGGGTGGAGTCCTGGTGTGGCACTTCAGGTTAATGCACTGGACTGAAAGGTCGATTTGAACCTCAAGATCAGTGGGTCAAGCTCACCAGTTGCTCCTCAGAAACCCTAACAAGGTAGCTATGAGTTGGAACCGACTCCTTGGAAATTAACAACAATAACTAATTGAAGGGGTGGGGAGTGCAATAACTCCGTAGGATAAGCACCGCACTGCAAACCCTAAGGTCTGTGGTTTAAGCCTGGAAGAAAGATGGAAGCTTTCTGCTCCTGCAAAGATTTAAAATATTGGAAATCCTATACAGGGTCGCTATGAGTCAGAACTGTCACAACAGCATTCAACAAACAACAACATTGAAGGAGTATCCCTTTTTTCAAGTCTTTCATCTCAGTTTTCATTTTCATTTTAATAATTCTCATACTTTCCCTACAATTTTTCTTGACCACTATAAATCTTCATAATAGAGTATCTTAATATTCTTCTAGCTTGATTTTTCCCTACTTTTAACTTGTTTCTTTTCTATGCTTTTTAAATGTCATAACTATGAACATAACAGGTTAACAGCATAAGTTAAAATTTGTAATTCCAGAATCCATGCGGGCCATGGAAAATATATAAAGCAAAGTAATGGAATTCAGAGTGAAGGCAAGAGGCTAGATCTAGTCTACCTTCGATAGCATAATCAGGACCAGCTTCTCAGGGGAGGTAACTTCATTCACAGTATAGAGAAAGGAAGGCAGCAAATGATAGCTAAGACCTGTCTTCTAGCAGAGTGAATCGTTGCTGTTGTTAAGTGCCATCAAGTTGGGTTCTGACTCATAGTGAACCTGTATAGGTTTTCCAAGGAACAGCTGGTGAGTTAGAGCCACCAACCGTATTTATGGTTAGCAGTCCAGTGCCTATGCTAAAGCACCACACCAGGACTCCAGAAGAATGAACAATAACTACACAGCTTCTGAAGAAGGACTAATCTTGGAATGTTTAAGACATATCAAGGTGACCAGTGTTACTAGAGACATGCAAGCAAGGCAGAGAGAAAGGAGATGAGATTGATGCTATAGCAGCAGGGGGCATTACAGTTGTTTTTGTTGTTAGGGACTATAGAGTCAACCTTCTAATTAACAGCTAAGCATGCTTATGGTTGGATCACCAGAGCTCCTTATAACTGCTCTATAGAATATAAATTTCATTTTGTATGACATGGAAAGGTGCTACAGTTTAAGAGAAGTTTTAAAAAGATAGTGTGCCACTAGTAAGAGGCAGATGAGTTAAGGGGGTTATTTCAGAGCTATTGGTATGGATTTGAAAGGTGTTCGGGTTAGGGATAGGTATGTTCATAAAGAATTATACTTGGAGTTTGCAAAAAGAGAAGGCTTAAGGTTGACACCTAAATTTTTGTGAAAAAAAAAAAAAAGGAAAAATAAAAAGTCAATTTACTGTGATGTAAAAGCAAGGCAGAGAAGTTTCTTGGGGGTTAAGAAAAATCACAAATTTTGAATATATGAGATTGAGATTCTTGTTGGATATCCAAGAAAAGATACTGAATAATCAGTTTGATGTGTGAGTCCAGACAATATATATTTTTTCTCATTATAAAATTATATAAAGGATTATTTAATTATTTTCAAAGAAAATATTTACAGACATTGAAGTAAAATGGGAAACTTGGGAGGAAATATTCTAAAATATTAGGTGGCTTCAAAGAGTTTATGGAAAAATTACATTATTTAATTCTGTTTTTGCATAAACTTTTGGAAGCTCCTTTATATATTGCTTACAGAATATTTCCTCCCAAGTCTTTTCATTTTACTTAACACTATATCCTTCTTCTTTGTTTGAAACGTCTATGACACAATATGATGATGGCATCTGACTGAATAGATACAATTTAAGATTCCCAACCAGATGAGAAGGAACGGATTCTATTTCTACTCTAGTTCTTAAAATTTACTTCCTTTTGATGTTTTCCTGCAACCTACCCCCAAAATAATAAGAATAGGAAATGAGTAAAATATATAAATTAGCCCCTCAGAACAAATGCTGTTAAGTATAATAAGCAAAGGTTATTACTATTACTATTGTTTTTTGTTTTTTTTTTTGCTTACAATGTTTTCTGGACGATAAACACCATTTCAAGTCATACAAAGTTAAATGTGACTATTGTATTTATTGATGTTAAGTTGAAACTGGCAGAGGCAATAAAGGTATTACAAGCAGTTTTGATCTAAAAAGCAGTTCTGATCTAAAATTTCTAAATAAGTATTAAAAAATAGAGAAAAACATCTATATGAGAACAAGAAAAATAATAAAAATTATAAAGATGTGGCATTATACTTGGTTAAAGAAGGACCCACTGTCAGATAAACACTGAATGCTAACTGCAAAGTCAGCTGTCCAGAACACCAGTAGCTCCCTGTACAGAGTCACTATGAATCAGAACTGACTCAACAGCACACAACAACAAAGCAGTTTTTACGTGATAAAACCAGAATATCCAGGCAAATGCAGGGATTAGAACATTGCTAAGGCACCTGTAACTGAGTGTGACTTACCCAGTGGTTGGCCTGCAATGATCCTGGCATTTTCTCCAGCAACCGCAGCTCTTGCATGTCGCTCACTCATGTACTGCACAAATGCATAGCCTTTGTGTACCGAGCATCCAACTATCTTTCCGTATTTTGAGAAGATGGCTTCAATGTCAACTTTCTTAACAATGGCTGTATTTAGATTGCCGATAAAAACACGGGAGTTGATGGACTTGGGGTCATTCTTATTGGTGACGTTGCTCGTCTGTGTTTTTCCAGTCATGGTTGGCTCACCTTGTTTTAACCCTTAAACAAACAAACAATCAAAAAGTAAATAATTAGACTGGATAAATATCACTTTTTTTTTTTAATAGTGTACTCAGGTAATCTCAAATCCTTATGTGTTACTGATTTTCTTAAGAAATATAAAAATATGAATACTGTGCTGTTAAATGGGGTAAAGAAATAATCATAATAACATAACATATAGTAATAAGTAAATTTCTGATTTATTTATCCAAAATTCCACCTGATATGGTAATTAAACATTTTGTAATTGTGTTTGTTTTTAAGTCTGTCTATTTTGCAGAAGAAAGTTCAGGAAATGAGCCACCTTATATCAACAAAAAAATATATCTAATTTTCTATGATCAGGTTATATATAAAATACAGTAATATAGCCTCCGTTTGTAGTTTAAATACATTCCTTCCCCTTATCTTCTATAATAAGTAGACATATTGGCATTTTCCTTATCAGATCTTTCTCTCAGAAACTAACAACTCATTCCATCAAATGCTGTGGAAGAAAATAAAAGTATTACAAATCAGAATATCAATTAGACATGTAACATAAGAAAAACATGAACTTGAAGTTAAATGAGGGATTTCACCAGAATTAATTTTGTATGCTCACTTTAATTGAACCAATAGCACTTGTCAGTTAAAAAAGCAACAACAACAGAAAACACATGTAGCCAGCGTTCATCAGATATCAGCAAATTAGTAAACTGGGTATCAGTGTTGAAATTTTTATTCTCGACTTCATTTTTTATCCATTTAACTAACAGCTCCTATGTTGAACAAGGACCGTTAGCATTTCCAAAAAGTAGTTTCTGAGCTTGGTTGGTTGTTGAATTGTGTGTGATTAAACAAAATACAACTTTTATTTCCAAGTATTCTCGCACTCACATGGCTCCCGACAACCCCCAAGGTCTTAAAATTCATTCAATCATTCAGTTATTCAACAAATATTTATTAAGCATCTATTATTGCCAGACATCATTTTCTAAAACATCTAATGAGATACAGTAAGTTGAAAAATAAAATTTCAACAAGAGCCCAATGTGACACTGGAGATAGTTGAAGAAGATTAGCTAACTGATGATTTTTTTGTCAGTGACAAATACATTTGTGACTGAAGATGCTTCTCTAAAATCTTATAGCTTTAAAGATAATTAATAAGTGCATTTGATTTTTTTAAAAGTCATTTTAAATGCCACTTCTAAATGACAAATTAAAGTCATAAATGTCTTAAAGACATGTAAATTGGGTATGTTGGAAATGAACTCACTATGTATTTAAACCAGGTACTTCTGAAATCAAGAGCAATAAAGTAACATAAGAATGTTTCAAATTAAGCTATTCATTATAGCTTTGAGGATTATTAAAACTTTAATTCACACTCAACATTTCACATACATCATTGTAATGAAGGTAAATATCTTAAACATTTAGTTGCTCAGATAAAATTTAAGAATAAGACATCATAAGAGACAAGGATTAGCCACATTTGAGTGGTTTCTTTATAAATTATTCAAGCCAGGTAGAAAGGAAAGCTATGTATATTTTTAAAAAATATTACAATTTAAGCTATTGCATACTTCCAAAATAAATACGCTAAGAAGCAATTGGGATAAGAAAAATCAAGGTACACCTTGAAAAGTCAAAGTATAATCTAGTTTTCTTTAATTACACTAAGGGAGAAAATATACTAAAGATGTATTTTTTAGCTCCTTGGAATGGATTGATGATGGTCTTTCTTGCCAACCCAGGTTAACATCAGTAATCAAATTTGTAGAAATCAAATTCTTTTCTTTTTGCTCTTATATGATGAAAATTATTAGAAATTTCATAGAATTGCTTTCAAAGATAAATAATTCTTTGGTTGTCGAGTAGGAATGCAATGGAATCCTGGGGTGGCGCTGTGGGATAAGCGCTGGACTGAAAGGCCAGTTCGAACCACAGGGTCTGTGTTTCAAACTCACCAGTGGCTCCTCAGAAACCCTATACAAGGCTGCCATGAGTCAGAACCAACTCAATAGCACTTAGCAACAACAATTCATTGGTTAAAATGTAAACACAAGAATTACATTAGGCCAAACTTGTGATTTACAGTGCCCAGTAGTCTGTCTTTGACTTTGACTTTGAGTCAAATTTCCTATGAAGGCACAGCTATGGTCTGAATTTTCACTGTTGATGTTAATATGCTATCTCTGACTTCATCTCTTATCTTTATGTGGATGAATCCCATATCTGTAGCTCTAAATTTCCAACTACTATTACGATTCATTTATTGAATCTTAAAAAGCAGTTCTTGTCAAGTTGACTTAGATACCTGGCAACCCCATGTGTATTACAGTAGCATTGTGCTCAATAATGTTTTCAATGGCTAATTATTTAGAAGTAGCTCACCAGTCCTTTCCTCTCAGAAGCTTCTGTTTGGACTTGAACCTCCAACCTTTTGATTAACAGCCAAGGAGTTTAACGATTTCCACTACCCAGGGACTCTTAAGAACTTTCAATTATACTAAAGTCAAAGTTGTGGCTAGGTGGGTGGTTCAAACCCACCAGCCACTCCTTGAAAACCCTATATAGGGTCACTATGAGTAGAAACTTACTCGAGGCACTAAAAACAACAACATGTCTCACAAAGTCTTACTTTACAGCTTCTTCCAGTCTTTGTAATGATGGTTGAGGTTTTTTGTTTAGGGTTGTACATGATCATTTCAAAATTCTCTGAAAATCAAGTCTGGAATGATAGTGTAATTACTATGTTGTGCTTCTCTCTTGCACAAATATTCAGTAAGTAATATTTTAGTCAAGATGGGATAACAAAAACTGGATTCCCCATCCTGACTTGAACAACTAGAATACCAAATGAATTTATGAAATAACTGTTTTTTTAAACATCGAATCATGGATAGTGAAGGATTGTGATAACCAAGAGACGAGAAATAAGGTGAAGTGTAGGCTCACACTAGCTTTCTGAAAACATATTTTAAGTCATATAGTAAGGAGGGCTATTGAAAGTAGAGACCGTAATCTTACAATTGGAAGGAAATACAGATCAGAGTTTAGGGAGTCAGAGAAAGCTGGAGTTTCTGAAGTTGAGTTCCACAGAAAAGGTGCTATGCAGAGAGAGAGTGTTCCTGAAACCCCTTAGAGTCTTGGTGTGGCACTGTAGGATAAGAAATGGACCAAAAGATTGGTTTGAACTACAAGATCGGTGGTTCAAACTCACCAGAGCACATTTCTTAAGAAATAGAACTCAGACACTCAACAACAGAACACACTACCTCCATTATCCTAAAAACATCATATAGATCCTAAGAATCAGAAACAAATATGACTTATTGACAGGAGAGACATGAAAGATATATATATATATATAAATCAAAGAAACTTCTGAGAAATGAAAATGTAATTAATGAAATGAAAAAATATATATATATATATGAGGCGCTGGGTTTCAAAAAGTTCATGGAAGAGAATTAAAAGATAATGGAATTTTTCCATGAAACTTTTTGAAGCTCCCTTGTATGTACTGAATGGATATTTCAACTAGTAAGTCTATGCAGAAGAAAGATTGTGTGTGGATTTAAAATAATAGAAATATATAATATTCAAAATGTAGCACAGAGATGCAAACAATAAAAACAGACCATAGTGAACTATGGTACAATATCCAGCTAGTTAATATATGTATGGACTCCTGGTGTGGTGCTATGGGATAATGCACTGGACCACAAGGTCAGTTTGGACTACAAGATTGGTGGTTCAAACTCACCAGCCACTCCTCGAAAACCCTATACAGGGTCACTATGGGTCGGAACCGACTCTACAGCACTTAACAACAACCACAATATGCATATATCTGGCACCATAGAAGAGCTACAGCAAATATTCAAAAACATGGTCAAGTATCTTCCAGGTTTAATGGAATAAATTATAATTCCACACTGACTCTCAAGTAGGCAAAACACAAAGAAAGCCATAATAAGACATTATAAATAAATTACTGATAACCAGTAATATAGAGACAAATTTATTTTAGAAAAATCCCTATATTCTAAATAAAAAAGGGGAACTTTAGTCAAGGAAATAATATAGCTACAAAACAGATAGCAAGTAAATACAAGTTTTTTCAGTAGAAACTGAAACTAATCTTAGAACTTGTCTCTCAGTCTTTCATTTAGAAGTTTGGTTGGAGTTAGGCTAAAGTGTCTTTCTACTATAGTTTTATATAAAAACTATAAATTACCTCTGACTAATAGAATGTTCTCTGAAATATTCTTCATCTGCACTGTCCAAAATAGGTACTAACTAACCACATAGGGCTTGTGAGCATTTGAAATGTGTCTAGTGTGATTGAGACTCTAACTACTTATTTAATTTCATTAAAATTAAGGCAATAATTCAGTGAGAGAGAGAGAGAGATATCATATCCAGTTGGGAAGATTAGAGAAAACTTCTTGCATATAGCATTAAGACATTGTAAGCATTGAGCTAAACATTAAGACACTGTAAGAATTTAAAGGACATGTAATTTTTAGCATTCAGAAGAGGGCAATTGTTTTTTGTAACATTTTAAGCTCATCTTGTACATGAATGTTTCCACTGAACAATTGGCATAGGAATTGTTTTGCTTCCTAACTAGAAAAACGGAAGTTTGTACTGAAATTAACAGCTGTATTTTAACAACCCTTGCAGGGAATATAAACCAAAATGATGTCAATAAAGTCAAAATTTATTTTTCAGAAAGTTATCTACAATCCAGAAAGCGGCAAATTAAAAAGTTAATTATCTTGTTTTTTTATTGTATACAATATGTAGATTAAAAAATATCTTAAACGTGTGTTTGGCTCATTATTGCTGTTGTTGTTGTTAAGTGCTCTCGAGTCTATTCCGACCCATAGTGACCCTGTATCGGGTTTCCAAGGAGCAGCTGGTGAGCTTGGACCACCAACATTGCAGTTCAAATTACTTCACAGTCTGTTGCATTAGCCCACAGCGCCATATCAGGACTC